ATTTACAAAGTATTTGTTTGTAATGGTTAATCGTGACCGTTTACTGTCGTCCATGGCAGTAAATATTGGATGGCAGTAAATGATGGAATATTAATAACGGTCACAATTAACAATTTAAACAAAATACTTTGTAAATAAATCTGTGTTCCCTCGATAATACTGGTCTGTGCGCAAGAGCAGATGCTAAAGTCGGCAAATTCGACTAGGTCGGCGTTCTCGACAGAACACCGTTATGTGCGTTTAGTATCGGGGCATTTTCACGAGTACTAGTACTCGTGAAAATGCCTAGTATTGGCACTGGTGTATCCCTCCGACACTGGTGTATCCCTCCGGCACTGGTAGTCACTTACTCTGTACTATCACATGTGTATGTGGTTGCAATAAAGTTAAAGTGACATTAAAGTTAAAAAATCCGATCTTCTTCTTCTTTCCTGATATTTTCATCTGTCCTTCCAGCGGTGCAGCGGCTCTCCGATCCAGCGCTGACTTCTCTCTGCTTGCAGGCACTTCCGATCCAGCAGGGTCTGCATGTGGGTGCACGCGTCCATAGACTTACCTTGCGTCTCTGCTAGTCTCCCGGCCGAAAATCCGAACTGCGCATGCGCCCGCCCCAAGATGCTTTGCGGCCGCCCAAACAGTTTCGGACTCTCGGGCGGGAGCGCGCAACGAAAACAGGGTAAGTTTAAACCACTGTTAAAGCGGGTTTTTTTTTAAACGTTTTGCCAAAAAATCGGAGGGTTTAGAAACCCTTTAAGTGTAAAAAAGAAGTTAAAATTATAGTGACATATATAAAAAATATTATCAAAGCCCTCTTCCCCCAAGTACATGCACATAGAAATGAAAATGTGAGCTGGGTGAGCCTATTTGACAATGGCGCCATACATTACATATTGCCGTAAACGCTGGAGTGAGAGCAATAATTCTAGGGCCATCACTCACTGTTCACTCTAAATTGATAAGCTGTAAAGGCTTTTAAATTGTTGCCCATGGCCAATTTGGGGTACCATAGTTTTTTTTTTGCCATTTCATGGGTGCACAAAGTTATAAGGCTTGACACGTTTGGTATCTATTTACCCGACACGACCCTATCTTTTATACTTTACCCAAAGCAATTGTCTAATATCAGTGTATTTTTTTCTAAAAATATTGATTTGCTAAACATTTGCGCAAATATCATGGGACTTGAAGAATTACAATTAGCACTGTTTGACAATTACAGAAAATATGTAATTGTTTGGGAGGTTTAAACTGTTCTCTAGCTAAAAAAAGATTTTAGCATGTCTTGCAAAACAATTAAAAAAAAAACTGCTGTGGACATGAAGTGGTTAAAGGAGAGCCACGTGTGAAGGAAATTGATTTACTGCTACCAAATGCAGGCTGACCAAGAGCAATGCACTCATAGGCAAACCGTTCTAATCTGCACTCTCACGCCCCCCTGTGTACACAATTTATCACTGCATGTCTACGTCATTCACATGAGGCCAATAACTTACCGAACTGTTTTCACTGCCATTAACGCACACCTGCCCCTTATTCTGAAAAACATATGCGAGTTTTACCGTGCTGAGGTGGAGAACTTTAAAAATGAAAGCAATGCGGTAGCCCACGTAGATTATTGTTTTTGGTCTCCAAGAAAATGGCTGCCACCGCACAATTGTACCCAGCTACTTCCGTATGGGGGCTGTTCAAGGAAGCTTGTCATGTAGGGGCAGAGTTTGTGTCTGGTGCTTTTTTTTTTACAGCTGATTCGAGGGAAAAGAAAGTGAAATCCATAGTCAGTAGTGGATAACTGTGCTGTCCAGGGGGCATGACTACAGGTAATGAGTACATAATGTTCACCATCATACAGCCATCATAGATAAATAGAGTGTTTCTGTGATTTCTCATTGTATGGGGTTTATGTGTGCTGGTTGGAAGTGCTGCTGCATGTCTTAAATTCGTCCTGTGTGAAAACCTATTTCTGTTTATATCACTTATCTGAGGTAACCATTTAATAAGTGGATTAAAGTGGCTGATCATTAGCTTATTAAAGGGTTCACCTTTATTGACATTTGTTTTTAAATCCATATGTGCTGCAGTTTTCATTGTACAATACAATGCTGACTTCCTTTGTTGAAAATGATTCTTTACGTCTACTGTGGGTTCGTCCTCTCTGTCCTGTCAAGATGGCAGGCCGGACCGACCATTGGATATGCAGTCCCAGCACTCCGCTTGAGAAGTCCACTCGTTCTCGCATCAGCTGCTGAGCTCATTGGTTCTGCTCCGGTGGTCATTGGTCCTGTGAGTCATCACGTCCAGTGCACTGAGGATGCCGAGGGACATACCATCGCTGGAGAGGAGGAGACAGGCTGGAGGGAGCGCTCTAACAGCTCTGAGGTTCAGGTGACTATAACTTTGTTATTTTCACACCTAGACAAAAACAAGCACTTTAGTCCTTGCAGTGCAGGGGTAGCCCCACTGCAAGGGTTAAGAATATTTTTGCCTGGACTTCTTTGGGGGGTGGGTCGGATTTTCAGGCAGTACAAATAAAAACAATTTCCAGCACACTTACCTAGTTAGCCTCCAAAAAATATGTATGTGGAAGCCACACTGCCCCATCAAGCCCCCTCTGTGTAGTGTGGTCCTGACGCTAAACATTTGCAGTATGGCTTCCACATATTTTGCAAAAGTTGTGCAATTTAAACCTTTATTTTTAACCCTAGTAGTTAGACAGCGTAATTTGTTTTTTTTTGCGGGCTGGCTGGTAAGTGTGTGCTGGGAAAGTTTTGTACTGTGTAAAGCCCTTCCATGTACACCTTGCTTTAAAAACTAGTTATACATTGATTTGTGTGGTTGCCATTTGTTTCACATGTTAGATTTTTAGGTAGGGCTAACTGTAATCCTCTTGAAGCCGAATTAAACTGACACTAAACTCAGGAGTTATATCTTAAAAATGCATTCAGGTACCTTAAGGCCTCATTCACACTGCCGCACGTATGCGTGCGTATTGTACCATATGCAACCTATGCAAATAAATGGCTCCTTACACACAGCCGCGTATAGAGCCGTATATTTGCGTAGCGTATATATGCGCAAAAACGGAATGGAACAGAGATTCGTCAGGTAAGCGTTTTTACGTGCATATATGCGTTTACAGCACATAAAAAATTCCATTACGAGTGATGCCTTCTGGGATTGCATATAGTGCACACATATACGCGCGTATAGACGCAATATACAATTTTGCTTGCGTTGTGTGTGAATGAGGCTTAACTATTAACAAAAATGTATCTTTTTTTGTGTATCACTCAGCTGTAGATCCTCAAATCATCTCTGAATTCATGCTGACACTGTTGTTTCTTCTGGAGGGTGGCTACGTTTGTACCCCATGGTTCACTGTGTGTATTGTGAAGTAGTCACTGCTCCAGGCTCACTCCCATAATAAACTACAACCTCAATACAAATGAGTAAACTAAACCTGAGATTGTAGTCCATCACAGGAGTGAGCTTGGAGAGGTGGCTACTTTACAACACACAGAGCGACCATGGGGAAGAAAAGTAGCCACCCTCCAGAAGGAAGGACATTGTCAGCACCAATTCAGAGATGATTTGAGGGTCTACAGCCGAGTGATACACAAATAAGATACATTTTTGTTATTAGTTAAGGTACTTGAATGCATTTTTAAGATATAACTCCTCAGTTTAATGTCAAGAGGATTACTGTTAGCCCTGCCTGAGTTTACTGTCCCACATTTAGATACATTTGGACTGTGCCCAATCTGGCTAACTTCTAGAATTGTACTGTTAAAGAGAAACTTCACTCCAGACCTGCAAATTAAAAAAAAATAATCATTAGAAATATTAATACATATAATTGTAAAACAAATGCTCTCCTTTCCACACAGACCAATGTTACCTTGCACTCCAGCCAAGTTCCCCAGTGCCTCTTCTGTCTGGTGCCACCATCTTCAGTAAGGGTAAGTTCCTGATTTTTCTGAGCACATCCGCACCAGCGATTTACCGGAGGTTACTGTTTGAATGTTGCCACAGTATCGGCAACATGTAAATCATATTATTCTGCGGGTAGAGCACTGTGTGCATACGTGCCGCCAATCATGTGCATGCACACCCAGTGCTCTACTTGCAAAATTGTATTAGTTACGAGTTGCTGTTACCATCCCAGGTGGAAACAATATGAATGCCAGGTGTGCATGCGCAGAATTGGTGACACATGCTCACCCAGAGCTCAGAGTTGCTCCCAAACCATTGGGATATATGACGTTCATATCCCATGAGTCTGCAGACAGTCCATGTCATTCTTGTCTATTTGAGAATGGTGGAAGTGAACAGAATTAAAAAAAAAGATATTCATAAAATGACCTCTGTAACAGCATTTTCCATGTTCCTTCAGGACTTCCTGTTTATGCAGTACCAGCCCTGTCTACATGCAACGTATGGGAGAAATTTCCTTAAGCCCTAAATTGCAAAGCAAGAAGGGAACTCGCGCATAATCTTCACTGAGGCTGATCTCAGGTAGGCGACTCTTTCACTGGTGATTTGTTGAAAATCCCAGCGTCAGGATTGCTAAGAGGTTGACTGTTTGTCCCTATGGAATTGGTCTCTCTGCTGTCACAATGAGATGTCACTCCCATGGCTGGCGATTGAGATTCAGCAGCGTTCTGGTCAGGGACACCTCTGCATCTGGCTAGATGGGGAGCAATTCCACAGGGACAGTCAGCCTGTTTTGCCACTGGTGATTTGTTTCTAGCGTCAGAATTGCTCAGTCTGGCATCAGCCTTCATACCAGTGTGTACAACAACCAGCACTCGGAGCATTATGCTCCAGCACACATGGATGTCAGACTGTTGTCAGGATTGTGTATGAGCCAGGATGATATCCCTGCAATCTTTTAGTGAAAATGGGGATTAAAAAGCTTTCTTTCACTGCACTGTTTTATATATTGTATATGTAATGAATATATTGGTGGTTATCACTTTTGCTCTATTATTAGGCAGACTAAATCATCGTTTTGACTTGGGTGTGCCACCGCCAGCATGTTCATATGTGATATATGTACTCAGGAAGTGCAATCTGAAGATGATATGAAGAGTCATTTGCTCTTGGCACACATGGAACGAGACTGCTGCTGCCCTTTCTGTACTATTACTGGACTCGCATATGATGAGCTCAGTTATCATATTAATACAGCTCATAGAGACACACTGGAACCATGGAGTAGTGATGAAGAAGAGTCAGGGGAAACCCAAGTACCAACCTCTACCTCTGGCAACTTGGAGAGTCCTCAGACTAATATGATTGACTCAAGTTACCATATAGAACAGACTAATTGTAAACCGAGATTACCGGTCAATAGAGAACAGAACAACACACAACAGAGCACTGCGAAAGAATCCATGGCATTAGAAGAGGGCATAAGTGAAGCCTCAGGGGGTTCGCCATTGGCTTGTAGTCCTGAATCTGTTTGCTTACCTTTGTCTTCAGTTTGTTCTAAAGTGTGCCGTACTGAGTTTAATGGTAAAGTTTATGAGGAAAGTGATTCCCAAGCCAGCGCGTCTGCACGCCCCATTGACTATAATGAGGATACTGTTATGGAATGTCCTTTTTGCTGTGACATGAAAACATCGGTTGAAGAGCTTGAATTCCATGTAAGGGTTGAACATGCAGACCTGGTAGACACGCCTACTAAAGGTAACTATTTAATATGTCTACTTTATATATTTTGTCTATTTATATGCAAAGTTTATTAGACATACCGTGGTTCATGTCTCGTCTAAACCAGGGGTGGACACATTAATATGGAATTCAGGAACCAGTCTGTCCAATCCAGGAGTCAGCAGGGTTTTTTTTAGGAGTCGGCTCCATTGACAACAACTAGAGAAACCCTTAAGACACCGTTCACACCTAGACATTGTGTCGCGTGTATTTGTCCACACTGAAACGCTCAAGACCAGAAATCCCATTTATTTCTATAGCCCCCTGTTCACACCTGAGCGTAGCGTTGCACGTAGAAAAATGCCTGTCGCTGGAAAAAGTACATGAGTTTTTTTGTTTTTTTTGGCAGATCAGTGCGATTTGTCCCCATAAACTCAAAAAGAAAAACTTGGAAACGCACGACACAATTTGTGCGTTTTACACGTGTTTCGCATTTACATCAATATGTCACAATCTGCTCACTAAAACGTGCGACTTAATATACACTCGGAAACGTGCACAAAATCATGCAGCAGATACGCGTGAAAACGCTGTCGCCTGAGTTAAGGTGCTGGTTGTAATTTTTAAGGAGCATTGGGTACCTGGCTCCTGGGGCTTGTTCAGCCCTGACCTAAACCACTGATCAACAAATGTGTACGCAGATCAATAACCAATAATTTGTATTTGGGGTCATGTGTGATTTTTTTTTTTGGGTGCACTGGATGCCGGATATCTGGGATTTCTAAACCGTATTAAGGTGCCCATATACCTGCCGATTAGCGTACGATAATCGCGGGTGATCTTGCAATCGTACGATAATCGGCAGGTTATGGAAGGTGTGCGACCGCTTCTACTGTATGGTCGCACGTCTTTTGTCTCCTGAGCAGGCTTGAAAACCCGCCGAGAATCGTACGATTGTCTGGGGTTAGTGGTGTTCTCGGTAGAGAAATGCCACACAGGCCGGTGTGCGCAAGCGCACACTGCCGTGCGGCATTGGCAGCCCTCCCCTCAGCGGGGAGGGCTTTCGATGATCGCAAGTACGATCAGCCTGTCCAAGATGGGCAGATCGTACAAGCTTTTAATTACCTTACAACCATCGCACGGAGTAAGTCATGCGATGGTTGTAAAGTGTATGGCCAGCTTCACACACACTCTAATTGTTCACATTTTGTCTATAGTAAACTGTGCCTTAGTTAAACTGTACCGGTTTGTTTTTTTTTCATTTCAAAAACCAAAATAACACTATCCGATGGGCCAATTTAACCAGTAAAGGGGACTCGGTCACTATATTTAAGAAGTAAGACTGGTATTCCCTGCAAAGCAAGCATTTAAAATGTGCCTGTTGCCAAAGTCTTGCACCTTGAAAACATAATGTTGCTAAAAGATCTTCTACATTGAACACTTAAGGTGCCCATACACCTTGCGATTATCGTACGATAATCGCGGGAAATCCTGCGATTGTACGATAATCGCAAGGTGTATGGAAGGCGTGCGACCTCTGCTACTGTTTTTTTAAGTACCTTACAACCATCGCAAGACAATAGATCAGTTATAAACTGATATAGCCAGCAGTGACTTTTACAACTTATTCAAGATGCTGCACAGAAGAGGTTAATGGGTAAAGTTAGGGAAGTTTCCAATGCTGCAAATGACAAAACAAATGTTTTTTTACATGGAGTCATAACTTTTTTAATGTATGTATTATTATATGATAACATATACAGTCGACCCCTGAAATTACGTTCCTAGAGCACCTGCGAATTGTGCAAAAACCGCAAATTTTGAATGTGGGCAAAAAAATGCCTATTATAGTTTAAACCCTAAATATGCCATCAAAACACTTTAATTACATTTCAAACTCTGCTTTCAAGCAGTGCTAGAATGTAAAATACCAATGTTAACCCTATATGTACTGTAATTCATGCAAGCGTGTTGAAGCACATGAAAAATTATATATTAAAATTATAAAAAGCCATAAAAAAAATTCCGGAGGATATGTGATTTCCGTGAACAATTATTAGTTGGGTTCTAAGGAAAAAGGCCGCAAACTCTGGACCGCGACTTCGCAGGGGTCAACTGTATATAAATGTAGATGTTTTGGCACTGTAGTATTACCTGGAAAATGGCATAAAATGGAATTTAAGAGATGAATGCATGGAACATGCTTGTTGAAATGATAACTTTTTTTTTTTTTTGTTAGGAACTTACAGGCAGCAGCTTGAATGCCCCATGTGTTCTATTTTTTGTGCAAATTTCCAAATCCTACAAGAACATGTAAATCTGCATTTGGAGGAAGGTCTCTCTGATGAAGGTTAGTTTGTTATAGTTTTTGTTAAAGAGCAATTCTGGACAATTGACAAGCTACTGATGCTAACCAGAATATGACACAGCTGTAAAAAGTCAGGTAGTTGATTCAGTGTAAATTGGTCCGAGCTGTAATTCCCTGCAAGCAACCCTCATGTAGCTCACTAGGAGAGTACTGGGCATGTACTTCCTGAAGCATAGACTGGGTAATGTGCTCCCCTGCTTCATTTTGTAACACCAGTCACAGTCAAACTGCCAAGGCAGATGAAAAAGAAAAAAGAACAGCGCCTTTTCCTCATGAAATACCGTTTTTATTAGTCCCAAAAATAAAACCCTGAATGAATCCTACTCACAAACGGTGTCTTTAGCAGAGCATTTTTAAATGACCAAAACAAGCTGGCATACTGTAGCAACTGACAACCGCAAAGTAGGCTACAATCTGTACTTCTGGCGCGTTTCTACGGTAATACCCTCTTCATCAGATCAAGTTCAAGGCAGATGGTTGTGGCAGACTTCTATCCTGAAGTTCTTCCTTCATTCCTTTTTTCCTTGTGTTTGGGAATGATTCACCTGAATCAAGATTTTCCACATCACCACATTATTGACAGGCAGGGAGTTTGAGTGATTTTGCTAAAGCTATCTCTGGATTAAAATACTAAGACCGGTTGTGTTCCCTCTATACATCTCAAAATTTCAATTTAATTTTGACTTGATTGCACTTTTAACCTGTCGTAGTAGAGAGAGCTCTGTTTCCTGTTTATTGTCTATTATACTGGGAAATCCCTAGTCTAATGCAAATAAAACATATCTCAAATATACCATCGGTACAAATGACATTTAAAGAACTCTTAAGCTGTCCATACACTGTAATATTTTCTTTGTTCAATCTGTGGGCTGAGCGAAGAAAATATAACAGATTTCTCCATCAACACTTAAGAGCGTTGATTAAGAAATCTCCTGCTCTCTTCATTTCCAGATTCTTCGCTGGCCGCTGTCGGAATACCTGAACAGAGCCAGCAGCTCTTTGGCTGCTGGCTCTGTTCGTCTAAGATTTTCCGACCCACTCCTTCGATCAGTTGATCGAGGGATGCTGGCTGAAAGGGTGCTGATAGGAAATTTTCATGTGGTTCATCAAGAACCAGCCAAAATTCGCAGTGTATAACCACCTTTTAGGGTTAATAAACCAGTAGAAATTTTTATTTGGGACATCCCCTTGTCAGGTGCGAAATCTGCTTTGGAAACCAAGGCATTGCTATCATCTGCCCTTCCATCTTAACAAAGGGTTCAATCAAGACATTTTGCTGACTGCTGTCACGTTTAAAGGAGAACTATGGGGTCAGTGTTTTTCCCCATAGTTCTCAGGGTAAAGGGAGGACACAAACTAGCGTCCTCCCGTCACCCTAAGCTCAGTATACCGCGAGCTACAGCTCGCGGTATACTGAGACGCCGGAGCGGATCCCGACATCGATGTCGAGATCCGCCCAGCTGCGTGAGTGACAGCTGGCTCTGCCTATCTAGAGGCAGAGCCAGCTGTACCCGCCCCCCCCCCC